ACGTCCGCAGCCGAAGGGTCAGCAATCAGCAACAAGCAGCAGGAGCAGCCTGGGAGGAATAAAATCCCTTAGACGCGATCCCGGAGGCAGCCGACTGACCACTGTCCTATCCTGACCACTGTCCTATCCTATCCTGCCTACTGTCAGTCGGCTGCCTCCGTCTAAGGGGCCAGCCGTGCTCTCTGCTGGTTACTTTTGGTCTTGTTTTGTTGTGTGTGTTTGTGCAGCTTCTCGCTGTGTGCATGCCGGTTTAGCTTGTTCCTGCTTTGTTTTTTCTTGAGGCACTTTTTACCTTGTGCGAGTAAAACTTCCTCTTGTTCAAGAAGCTGGTGAGGGCGAGCCATCTCCAGAAGCTCCGCTTCTTCCTCCAGGGGTCATCTCCGTTTCTCTCGCGAGTCCAGTCTGAATATCTGAGTTTTACTCGCACAAGGTCAGATCCTCACTTGACACACACAAAAAAACCAAGACCACAAAAGCAGCAGGAAGATTTACTGGCAGAAGGTGAAAAGTGCCTCAAGCAAAACAAAGCGGGAACAAGCTAAACCTGATCCACTACCTCGCTTGCACACAGCGCACAGCGAGAAACTGCAACGAGACGTCCGCCGCCGCGGCCGCGGACGGAGAAAGGGCAGCCGCCGACAAGGAGCCGGCGTTGCCCGGGGGTCCGCCTGGGGCAGCGGACGGAGCAGACAATGGATTTACTGGCAGAAGGTAAAAAGTGCCTCAAGCAGAACAAAGCAGGAACAGTGATAGTGGATTTACTGGCAAAAGGTAAAAAGTGCCTCAAGCAAAACAAAGCAGGAACAAGCTGAACCTCCATCCAAGAGAACCACTTGTGATAATCAAGAATCAAAATTTATTAAATGTGATTAAAAAACAGAAAGCTTCAGAAGTGAAGCAGAAAGCTTGCAGGGTTTTATATTCCTTGAATGAAGTCCCTAGTTTCCTAGGAGTCATTCTTGGCACATTCTTGTCTACAAGTCCGCATTAGTCGCAATTAAACTGCAACCTCGATGTTTCAGGTTTTAAATTCCTTCAC